GGGGTCTAGGGGGTTTAGGGGGTTTAGGGGGTTTAGGGGGTTTAGGGGGTTTAGGGGGTTTAGGGGGTTTAGGGGTTGAGGGTTTGGGGTTTGGGGTTTAGGGGTTAGGGTTGAGGGATTCGGGTTTAGGGCGTTGTATGTTTAGAGTTGATGGCTTAGGTTCCTACACTTCGAACTTCTTGCAAAGCCCACAACCCCATACCCTGTAAACGCTCAGGCCCAAAAACCTTGAAGCCCTCAAACCCCCAAAGCCCCAAACCCTAAGCCCGTTTTCCCTAAAACCAGAATGAAAGGTTGAAGGACTGGCCCTTGTTCTCTTTCCATAGTAGGGCGAGGTTCCCTCACAATGAAGGTTATTAGACAAAACAAGGGTTGGTTTAGGGGTTGGGTTTTTGGGTTTGTAGGGTTTAGGCTTTTAGGGTTGTAAAACATGTGGTTTCCATTTCTGTCAGACTCCCTGACAAACACCCTCGAGCAAGGGAGGGTATCTAGCCTTTTTATGCCTTTCTTGGAGGTTCATGGGACTTATTATTATTAACCAATGTTAATTGTACATATAGCCCACTTATAAGCCCCTGAAGTGTCCTAGTACGGTTATAAGTACAGTTATAGGTACAGTTACAATTGGTTAATGCGTACCATGAATGTCCAAGTTCACAAACTCTAAACCCTAAACCCTAAACCCTAAACCCTAAACCCTAAACCCTAAACCCTAAACCCTAAACCCTAAACCCTAAACCTTACACCCTAAACCCTAAACCCTAAACCCTAAACCCTAAACCCTAAACCCTAAACCCTAAACCCTAAACCCTAAACCCTAAACCCTAAACCCTTACCCCTAAACCGCGTATATAAAGTGCCAATTGGGGATTAAGGGGAAATATCGTATGAAGAAAACCCGCCTAAAAGGGGAAGTCGTCGCTCTTTTGGACGAAGATCGCGTTCTCACTTAGGCGCAGGCGTGGCCGCTCTTGTTGGCTTCTGGGCTCGCTAGATGCGTAACCGTCGTCACTTTTGAACGTCCAGCTTCACCGAATTTCACCGACCCCAGCGCTTGTACTGATCTCGGTCTATTTTGTATTTTTGCACGTACTCTTGGACTGTCGGCGTACCCATTCGTGTCCCTAAACCCTGAACCCTAAACGCTAAATCCGACACCCTAAGCCCTGAGCCCTAAGCCCTAAACCCGAGACCCTAAACCCTCTGGGTTATACTCTGGGACCTAGAGGAAGAAGCTCCCAGCCAAGGAGAAGTCGCAGCGAGTGCTGACAGACAACTTGCAGGCTCTCCTGGACTACCAGATCCTGGGCCCTTAAATTAATCCCTGAAACCCTAAACCTTAAACCCTAAACCTGGCCCTTAAAAACTTCAACCCTAAATCTGAAACCCTAAACCAATTTGCTCTTTGGAGGTTTAGGGTTTTAGGGCTTTAGGGCTAAGTTTGCTCTTTCGGGGTTTGGGGTTTTGTGTTTAGGTTTAAGGGTTTCAGAGATTTGGGTTTTTTGGGCTATTTTTGTCTTGCGGGGACTTTGAGGGTTTCGGGCGTTTAGGGTTGTTAGGGTCTTAGGGTTTGCTAGGGATTACTAGATCACCTACCCCCTCCTTGGACCCCCACATCTTGAGAACCACCCTGACTCTAAACCTGAAAATCAAGAACCTCAGGACCAACTACATACTCTGGGCCGTGGGAACCGTTTTGGACCCGACGGAGTTGGCCGGACGAATCCGCGACGTCGCTGGCAGGAATGGCGGTGGGAGCTTGCGCAGGTGGGGGCGGGAGGTCGGGTTTGAGAGGGTTCAGGCTTTCAGCCCGCAAACCTAGCCTAAGAAGGAGAACATGTCTGAGTCCTAAACCCTAAGCCCTAAGCCCTAAACCCTAAACCCTAAACCCTAAACCCCAAACCCCAAACCCCAAACCCCAAACCCTAAACCCCAAACCCTAAACCCTAAACCCTAAGCCGAAACCTTCTTTTCTCCGGCTCGCAAACCCTCATAGACGCCGACAGCACGGGCCCCGCGCCGGACCTTGACCCCAAAACCCAAACGCCAGCACATGAGAAACCGAACTAAGCCCTGTAGGTTTTAGGGCTTAGCTTAGGGTTTGGGGTTTAGAGCTCTGAACCCTAAACCCTAAACCCTAAACCCTAAACCCTAAACCCTAAACCCTAAACCCTAACCCCTCAACCCTAAACCCTAAACCCTAAACCCTAAACCCTAAACCCTAAACCCTAAACCCTAAACCCTAAACCCTAAACCCTAAACCCTAAACCCTAAACCCTAACCCAAAACACCAACCCAACTCTGCAAGTTTCCCAACCCTCGAGTCCCTCCCGCTGGTTCTCAGTAGGGAATGAGGGAATGAGGGCCCTATATATACCCTTTCAGGGATTATATAGGGTCCTCCGAAACCCTAAACCCTAAACCCTAAACCCTAAACCCTAAACCCTAAACCCTAAACCCTAAACCCTAAACCCTAAACCCTAAACCCTAAACCCTAAACCCTAAACCCTAAAACCCTAAACCCTAAGCCCTAAATCCCAAACCCTAAACCCTAAACCCTAAACCCTAAACCCTAAACCCTAAACCCTAAACCCTAAACCCTAAACCCTAAACCCTAAACCCTAAACCCTAAACCCCTTCGTTCCCACCGTCAGGTGGCGCACCACACCATGGTGGGCACCTACCACGCAGGCCCCTGCCCTGGACTTGTCAAAGGGTTTTGGGGCTTAGGGTTCCCCTAAATCCTAAGCCCTAAACCCTAAACGCCTAAACCCCTAACCCCTAAACCCTAAACCCTAAACCCTGAACCCGAAACCCTCAACCCTAAACCCTAAACCCTAAACCCTAAACCCTAAACCCTAAACCCTAAACCCTAAACCCTAAACCCTAAACCCTAAACCCTAAACCCCACGAGGAGCTTCTCGAGGAGCTCCAAGTGGAGCTGCCGAGCCAAAAGTCCGTCAGCCTCTCGCGGGAGATCTTGGGCTGGCACCAGGAGCTTGCGGGTTCTGAGAGGGAGGTTTGGGGTTTAGGCTTTAGGGTTTAGGGTTTGGGGTTTGGGGTTTAGGGTTTGGGGTTCGGGGTTCAGGGTTTAGGGTTTAGGGTTTAGGGTTTCGGGCCCAGGACACAAACCCCGTCGCTTCAGAGATTCCATGTGTGTAGCATAATGCCTCCGCACCCTAGAACCCCAAACCCTAAACCCCTAAACCCCTAAACCCTACACCCCTCAACCCTGAACCCTAGAACCCTAGAACCCTAGAACCCTAGAACCCTAGAACCCTAGAACCCTAGAACCCTAGAACCCTAGAACCCTAGAACCCTAGAACCCTAGAACCCTAGAACCCTAGAACCCCCTAGAACCCTGGAACCCTAGAACCCTAGAACCCTTAAACCCTTAAACCCTTAAACCCTTAAACCCTTAAACCCTAAACCCCAAACCCTGTCCTAAAAACATTCAAGCCCTGTTAAAATCGTACACCTGCCACACACAGGACTCCTCTGCCCAACTCCTCTCCCGAGCGGCCGCCTTCACCCGCAACGCCTCCCGCGAGACCTGGCCGTACCGTGCCCGTGCTCTGCGCCACCCGGCAGCATGCGGGGGTTTCAGGGTTTCAGTTTCGGGACCAATATGAGTTTCAATTAGGGTTTCGGGTTTCGGGTTTAGGGTTTCGGGTTTCGGGTTTAGGGTTTAGGGTTTCGGGTTTAGGGTTTAGGGTTCAGGGTATAGGGTTTCGGGTTTAGGGTTTGGGATTTAGGGTTTAGGGTTCTAGGGTTTAGGGTTTAGGGTTTAGGGTTTCGGGTTTCGGGTTTCGGGTGTAGGGTTTGGGTTTGCAGCCCCTCAGCCATGCGAGCCCTTCAGTGCCTTGAGGCCCACTGCAAGCCCCTCCCCTGCCCTGCCTTCAGAGACTCGCAGGGTAAGCCGCGACATCCTTTTTGGTAGGTTGTCTAGAAACACCTAAACCCTAAACCCTAAACCCTAAACCCCAAACCCTAAACCCTAAACCCTAAACCCTAAACCCTAAACCCTAAAACCCTAAACCCTGAACCCTGAACCCTGAACCCTAAACCCTAAACCCAAAAACCTTCCAAACTACATCGTACTAGGCCCTGGAAGCAAAGGTGGTATGCTGCGGCACTTCCGGGCGCACTTCGCCAAGCGCCTGGCGCAAGAGCCGGAGGCCGCAGGGCAGCGCCAGATCAGCGAGAAGCTGCAACTACTCAGGCGCGACATTTTAGGGTTTAGGGTTTAGGGTTTGGGGTTTGGGGTTTAGGGTTTGGGGTTTAGGGTTTAGGGTTTAGGGTTTAGGGTTTGGGGTTTGGGGTTTAGGTGGGTAAAAATTGGTTAATAATTAAGCACCATGAACCTCCAAGTAAACCTGCAGGGACCAGTCGGCGCAGCGGCGGGCGTTGGGCGAGCGCGCGCGGTCGCTGCGTCTGTGGCTTCCTGACAGTGGGCCCGTCACCTTGGACGCGAGCAGCCGCTTGGTCCGAGAAACCTCAACCCTAAACCCTAGAGAAACCTCAACCCTAAATCCTAAATCCTCTCCCCTAAACCCTAAACCCTCTGAACCCTGAAAACCCTTAAAGCCCTGCAAACCCTTGAAACCTTGTAAGCCCTATAGCCCCATAGCCCTAAATCCCAAACCCCATATAAGTCCTACAAACCCCATACATCCTATAAACCCTCTTAAATCCTATAAGCATTGTAAACCCTATAAACCTTAAACCCCTAATCGACCGGGGCTTCGGGTTCATCTACACCATAGCAGAAATCACAGGGAGCGGTTGGTCGGGCTTCAGTGGGTGTAGGGGTTTGTTTTGGGGGGGATTTAGGGTTATGAAGGGATTAAGACTCATACCCCCCAAGGTTGTACCCCAAAGGTTCCCCCCTGAATATCCGAATATGGCCCTGATCTTTCAAACGGGTCCCCGAAACCCAATGGTACAACCTTAAGGGTCCGAGGTACAACCCCTGGAGGTTAGAGGGTTGGAGCTTGTGTGGTCTCCTGCTGCATGCTAAAGGTTCAGGACCCGTCTTCTTGAGTTTAGTGTGAGAGCACCCCAAACCCTATAAACCCTAACCCTAAACCCTAAACCCCAAACCCTAAACTCCAAACCCTAAACCGTGGTTTATGATGTGGCGACGTAAGGCCAAGTCCTTTGGAACTCTTTGCTGGAGGGCTTTCTGGCAACGCACGAGAAGCACAACACCTTCACCATGCTACGTCTGCAGGCTCGGAAAACGCGGGTTTTTTTTGAGTAAAGCCTAAACCTCGGGATGTTCCCCCTTATACAGTCCTTAATAGAGATTCTAGTACCCCTTACTACACCGATTAAGGACTCTTAATATAAGGTGGAGCATCCCAACCCTAAACCCTATAAACTGTATAAACCCTACAAAACCCAGTTTCTGTTGTCTCTTGTCTCAGGTCTTGGACGACACAGATGCGGCGCTGCATGTTGCTGCCAACTTCTCTGTGTGCGGAGGCCCCCTGAACCTTGCAACAATACGGCCAGTAACTTTGAGATATTCCCCCTTTTACTAACAGTCCTTCATAGGGATTGTCGTACCCCCGGTAAGTCCCTAGTAAGGACTGTAGTATAAGGGGGAACATCCCAACCCATAACCCTCAGGGCAAGTCAGTTCGTACTGAGGGTGAGTGGGTTCAGAGTTTGTCCCGGAAGCCGGACACGCTGCAGCGTAATCCTACGTAACGCAAAAGCCCGAACACTGAACAACAAGCACCAAAAACAGGCAACAGCCCATGTAAATCCCCAATGGCTCCTATGAAGCCCTGGCCAAACCCTGCAAAATCCTGAGCCTTGCGGCCTATGACAAGCTGTAGAAACTTTGATTCAATGTCATGAATAAAGCCCCTCCCCATATGGTTTAATTGGTGGTCCAGCATGCCCTATGTTTACTTCAAGCCTTGTTATGTCCACCTATTCGCCGATTCATGATGTCTAGGGTGTGGGGTTTAGGGTTTTGGGGTTTAGAGTTCCAGGGTTTCAGCGTCAGGGTTTTTGCGGTTCGATCACCGTTTTAGGGTTCATGGGTTTAATTGCTGAGAGTTTACGAGTTTCAGGGTTTCAGGTTCGGGGATGTGGCGTGCTTTTTCGAAGCCCAAGATATGTTCGTGACCTGTCCGGCGAGTGGCTGCAACGGTGGTCACCATAGTACAGTAGCCATTACTTTTCAGCCACACCCCTAAACCCTAAACCCTAAGCCCTAAGCCCAAAAACTCAACCCTAAGCCCTAATCCCTAAACCCTAAACCCTAAGCCCTAAACCCCAAACCAAAAAACAACCCTGAACCCACACCCTAAACCTTTCAAACAACTCAAAACAGCCAATATCAGCAAGACCTAGACACCTTGAACTTACCACTTTCATATAAGTCCCCGACCCGCGGCCCAAGGCCCCAATATGAACTCCAGGAACCCCCAAAGCCCTCCAAATCCCGGAAGCCCCAAACCCCAAACCCTGATTTGGCCCCAAACCCTAACCCCTAAACCCTAAACCCTAAACCCCTAAACCCCCTAAACCCCTAAACCCCTAAACCCCTAAACCCCTAAACCCCGAAACCCTAAACCCTAAACCCTAAACCTCATAAACCCTAAACACGGTTTCCTTTCTCTGTAGGAGCCGACACCTCCCTTCTCCGCGAATCCTGGCAGCAGGTGGCGCGGGCCGAGGCGAGGTTATCCACAGCTGTCGGTTTGGGTTTTGGGGCTTGTAGGGTTTGAAGGGTGTGTAGAGTTTAGGGTTTGTAGGGTTTATAGCGTTTTAGAGTTTAGGGTTTATAGGGTTCATAGGGTTTCGGGTCTTGCGAACAAGGCCTGAAGCCACCAACACCTGCAGGAGCGCGCGAACGTGGCGCTCCAGGAGGCGTGGTCCGCCACGTTGACCGCAGCGGAACGCCTCCGAATCGCCTTCAAGGACAGGGCTTAGGGTTTAGGGGTTTAGGGGTTTAGGGGTTTAGGGGTTTAGGGGTTTAGGGGTTTAGGGGTTTAGGGGTTTAGGGGTTTAGGGGTTTAGGGGTTTAGGTCCTATAATCATTGGGCAAGGTCATGCAAAGGGCGGGCAAGGTCATACAAAGAGCGGACTAGGGTTTAGGGTTTAGGGTTTAGGGTTTAGGGTTTAGGGTTTAGGGTTTAGGGTTTAGGGTTTAGGGTTTAGGGTTTAGGGTTTAGGGTTTAGGGTTTAGGGTTTAGGGTTTAGGGTTCCGGGCCTAGGTTTTGGGGTTCAAGGCTTAAGGTAGGGTTGAAGGTTCAGGGCCCGTGTTTAGGGTTTAGGGTTTAGGGTTTAGGGTTTAGGGTTTAGGGTTTAGGGTTTAGGGTTTAGGGTTTAGGGGTTAGGGTTTGGGTTGTGTCTCAGAAAACCTCAACATCCTCCAAACCCATACCCCTTAACCTCTAAAAGGAGAATACAAGGAAGGGGGTTTTACCATACCCCTTAATTTCTTTATTGGGTATGCCCAAGGGGTATGTTGAATATTTCTTAGATTTGTGTATGAAACGCTTAAATCTCTTAATGGTATGGCATTCTCTGTGTGGGTGGGTACTTTTCGGGTGCCTGAGGAGCTGCTAAACTGGTGCATGCTTGGACTTGAGATGCTGAACCCTAAATCCCAAACCCTCAACCCTCAACCCTAAACCCTAAACCCTAAACCCGAAACCCTAAACCCGAAACCCTAAACCCGAAACCCGAAACCCTAAACCCGAAACCCGAAACACGCCCACAGCTGGGTCCGCGCTCGCAGGAGGAAGGCATCTTGCATCACCTCATCCGGGGAGCCGTGCTGGATGACGAGAGCGTTGAAAGGCCACGCCGCCCAGGGCCAGTTTTGAGGTTTAGGGTTTAGGGTTTAGGGTCTAGTGTTTAGGGTTTGGGGTTTAGGGTTTAGGGTTCAGGATTTGGTGCTTAGGGTCTCGGGGTTCGGGGTCCTTTTTTCAGAATCCCTTGACCCGTTTGAGGTTTAGAGCAGGGCATCTCACGCTCAGCACTGAACCTGACTTGGCCCTGATTCCTGAGCACGAAGCCCTGAATCTAGACCGAAACCCTAAACCCTAAACCCTACGTTAAACTCGAACCCCTAAACCCGAAATCCTAAACGCCAGTTAACCACTCTCATCTCTGAGCCCTCCCTAAAAAACCCAAGGCTTGAAGGCTGTGAGGACCAGTTCCACCAGATTGGGCAGAGCCTCTTCAGCCACGCCGTGCAGGCCCCCGCTTCGGAGATGGTGGGCTAGGCTTTAGGGTTTAGGGTTTAGGGTTAGGGTTTAGGGTTTAGGGTTTAGGGTTTAGGGTTTAGGGTTTAGGGTTTAGGGTTTAGGGTTTAGGGTTTAGGGTTTAGGGTTTAGGGTTTAGGGTTTAGGGTTTAGGGCGTAGGGTGTAGGGTTTAGGGTTTAGTGCTTGGGTTGTTGAGGGTGGGGCTTCAGGGGTTGGGGGGTTGAGGTTGTCGCGGTTTTGGACCTTCAGCGATTTGGGTTGAAGGCTTTGAGGCGTTTAAAAGAAGTTTATATGGTGTTGGGGTTTAGCTTAGGCTGTTCCCCCTGAAAGGCAGCCAGGGCGTGTATTCTAGCACGAGCTATTCCTGTTCTCGGTCTCATTGCCTGAAGGCCCAACGTAACTCTCCTCTGCCTAAGGCCTAAGGCCTAAGGCCTAAGGCCTAAGGCCTAAGGCCTAAGGCCTAAAGCCTAAGGCCTAAGGCCTAAGGCCTAAGGCCTAAGGCCTAAGGCCTAAAGCCTAAAGCCTAAAGCCTAAAGCCTAAAGCCTAAAGCCTAAAGCCTAAAGCCTAAAGCCTAAAGCCTAAAGCCTAAGGCCTAAGGCCTAAGGCCTAAGGCCTAAGGCCTAAGGCCTAAGGCCTAAGGCCTAAGGCCTAAGGCCTAAGGCCTAAGGCCTAAGGCCCTAAGGCCTAAGGCCTAAGGCCTAAGGCCTAAAGCCTAAAGCCTAAAGCCTAAAGCCTATAAGCCTATAAGCCCTTGACCCTGCAATCCCTCACCGAGCCCATGAACTGAGGGTTCTGGTTACTTCCCATAAGAGGAGGACCCCTTCACCGCCGCCAAAATAGCAGAATCCCCTTAAGAGGAATCCCCCCCCCCCCCCAAAAAAAAAAAGAAAAAGGCCTACAGTAAACCTCAAGCCCCAAACCCTCAACCCCAAACCCTCAACCCCAAACCCTCAACCCTAAACCCATCTAAACCCTCAACCCTCAACCCTAAACCCCGAAACTTCCATCCAAAACCCCACGGGGCTACTTGTTTGGCCACGCAGCAGGTGGTGAACCGCGTCGTGCAGCCGCTGCTCATGCAGCTGATCACCTTCGAGGCTTCCTATGGCCATTCAGAGTGTGGGGCCGTTTCCTGTTTTTTTTTTTTGGTTTAGGGTTTAGGGCTTAGGGTTTAGGGTTTAGGGTTTAGGGGGGGGGGGGGGTGGGTTTAGGGTGGGTGGGGAGGGGAGGTCCGCCCAAAACCCTAAACCCTAAACCCTTTGGTGTGTGTTTTTTGTTCTGGGGCGCGGGAGCGATGTAGGAGGGGGGGGGGGGATTGGGTTGGGGCATTGGAGATTTCAGGGTGGAGAGCCCCCAAAGTGGCCTGGAGGAGTCAGGGGGTTGAGGGTTCTGCAGCGAGTTCGCCTCCAGTGCTTTCTGAACCCTAATTATAGACCCTAGACTAGACCCTAAACCCGAAACAAACCCTAAAACCCTAAAACCCTAAACCCTAAACCCTAAATCCCTCAACCCCAAACCTCCCCGTCCACCCCAAAGAGGCTCTACAGGGCTACCAAGAGGAGGAGCTCAAGTCAAGAGGCCGTGTCCTTTTGTTGATGGAGTAAATTGGGGGTTGGGTGCATTTTGTAAGCCTCACTCTACACCCTAAACCTAAACCCTAAAGCCCAGGGTTTGGGTGTGTTTCGGGTTTAGGCTGCTCTACAAAGCCTTGAGAACCCCAAAGCCTGAAGGCCACGTGGCCCCACCCCCCCTCTCCCGGGTTTAGGTTTCGGGGTTTACCCGGTGTGTAGGTTGCTCGGATTTTAGAGTCTAGGGTCTTGTAAGAAGCTTCCCGAAAAGCCCCGGAGCTCCGGGCTAAACCCCGCAAAATACCATTGCTCTCGCCGCCGTGGAAGGGTTCACTTTTCGATGGGTGCGGGGGGTGGGGGAGTTTCTTTTTTTTTTTTTTGGGGGGGGGGGGGGGGGGGGGGGGGGTTGGCACTCAAAAACGTCGCTATTTACTGCGCCCAGGATGTTGGCAAACATCGTCGATGTCTCTGCTGCTTTTTGTACGCGTTTTCCTTCTTTTCTGGGGGTGAGGTGCTACCACAATCCTCGGTATCTACAGCATGTTCGGCACTTTTCCATGCTATTGTTTTTGATCACTCCGAAAAACGTTTTTTGTGCGACAGGAGGTACTTGACAGCATGTTCGGCCCTGTTCGAGGAAAGTGCTCCGTATTTACAGTAGTTTCGGCACCCTGGGATGTTATTTTCGGGATTTTGTCATGGCAAGGCCACGATCCCTCAACTCCAGTTGTTGTGTGCAGTCGTCATTTGAAACATCGGTATTTACAGCATGTTTGCTTTTTGCTTGGTCACTTTTGGTGAGCTTGTCGCCGACATTCATCGATTTAACCGGCTTCTTTGCGGAGCACTCTGGACGTAGTGAACCTCTGTGCAAAGCAACGTGAAGACAGCAACTTGAGGAAAAAGAATAGCCAAGTTTTCCCGGAAATGCGTGTTGCCAAAGTCTCACGTTTTTGATTCTACAAACGTTCTACGGCGATGAGAGCCATACCTACTTTTGTTTGTGGAGCCTTGACCCCTTAATCAAACCCCCCTTTGCCCTTTGAGCCCTAGAAACCCTAAACCCTTGTCGCGGCTCTAAACAACGGCTGGAAGTCAGAACAACGACCTCCCGGATTTTGCCGTGGGAGTTGCCATTTGGGGCTGCTCTGTGGATACAGGACGATCGTCGAAACACCTGGGAAGTCCCTGTGATCGGTCCACAGCAGTCTTATCAACCGGCCAATGCGGCCAGCTAGAGCCCTCTCCGGTCGATTGCATCTCAATCCAGTCGGCATTGACAAATGAAGGAACCAGTCCTGTGCCATGTACGCCGAGTACTACGCGTACTATGCCCTGACACCTGAAACAGCCCAACTGCCCTTCTTCTCACGTATGAAGTCGGGGGCGTGGCGTGCGTCGGGAGCATAAACACCTAAAGAGCCGAAATCCCTAAGCTCTAAGCCCCACCCCGCAAATGCGGGTCAACCCCCCCTATGCACCCTGCAAAACCTATAACAACCCTACAAAGCAGCCCCCCCCCCCCCCCACCACCAACCCAGAGAGGGGAAGGCGAAACCCTCAACAAAACCGCAAACCCTGAACCCCAAACCCTGAACCCCAAACCCTGAACCCACTTAGCTTCGGGGGTCGGAGTGAAAACCCTAAACCCTAACCCACCATGAACCACCGACCTTGAACCACAGGTGAAAAACGGGGGGCGCGGGATCCCTCAATCCTAAACTCACCAGGAACCACAGGGGGGAGATTCAAAACCCTACACCCTACACCCCAACCCCACCATCAACCAAGAGGGGGCAAACTGAAAACCCTAAACCCGAAACCCTAAACCCTAAATTTTCAACCCTAAGCCCTAAGCCCCTAAACTCGAAACCTCATCCCTAAATCACAGAGGGGAGGAGAGGGAAGCCCTAAACCCAAACCCGGAAGACCCTAAACCCACCATGAGGGGGAATACCATGGGGGTGGGGGGTGGCGGGGCACGTGAATGCTAGCGCATGTAAGCCCTATAAACCCTGTAAGCCATAGAATCCCTCTACACCCTCCAAACCTTATAAGCTTCAAGAAAGGCCTGCGCTACCTTCCCTCGCCGCCCCACCTGGGCTTGCGCGCTTTGAAGACCGAGCTGGTTGCAGCCGTAGACCCATCCACCCCTGCAGGCTCACTGGCTTCAAGGGTTTAGGGGTTTTAGGGTTTTACGGTTTAGGCGGGGCTTTTATGAGTGTGGTTTAGGGGCTTTGGGTGGGGGTTTGGGGGTCACCGGTTTGGGGCGATTTGGGGTAGTTTTTGGGCTTTCGGATTTCGAGCTTAAGGCTTATATGGCTTCGGGTAGCCCAACGGTAACCCTCAGCCCTGAACCCGCAAAGTGCTCTCGAAGCACCTGCAACATTCAGGAGGGCTATGCCCTAGGCGCGGAAAGGGATGAAGAACTTCACTCGTCAGGTTTGTGTTAGAACCTTGGAGTAAAGGGTTTAGGGATTCAGGAGTTTGCAGTTTGGAGTTTAGGAGTTTCCGGCCTACATCACGCCCAAGCATCACCCCACCCAAGGCCGTGCCCTCGCCACGCGGGCGATGAATGTACTGGGCAACTAGATCAGTGTTAGGGATCCTTTTTACTTTTTGGGTTATGGGCTTTGTAACCCTAAACCCTAAACCCTAACCCTAAACCCTAAGCCCTAAACCCTAAACCCTAAACCGCCTAAACCCTAAACCCTAAACCCTAAACCCTAAACCCTAAACCCTAAACCTTTTTTGACTAGGGGAACAGGGATTAAGGCAAGAGGATCTGCCCATCGCCTTGCGTGGAGACTTCGGAGGCCATGTTGGTGGCCAGGCAGGGTGCGCACAAAGGGTTTGTTTGGGGTTTAGGGTTTCGGGTTTAGGGTTAGGGTTTAGGGTTTAGGGTTTAGGGTTTAGGGTTTAGGGTTTAGGGTTTAGGGTTTAGGGTTTAGGGTTTAGGGTTTAGGGTTTAGGGGTCAGGGTTCAATAATCGACCTCCCTCTGAAGTCCTAAACGCAAATATCCAGCTCCTTTATTCGCCTCGAGCCAGAAATCCCCATCGTCGCAACTCGTACATGAGTAGGGCTTTAGGGTTTAGGGTTTAGGGTTTAGAGTTTAGGGTTTAGGAAGCCTTATTTACACCCGTAGCCATTCGGGTTTAGGGTTTTGGTAGCCCAGTGGTACCCTTTTTCCTTTTTTGTGGTTCAAGGTTCCCTGATAAATTTACCAACCGAAAAAGGGTGCTTGTTATTATATGGTTAATGGGGTACCAAGGGGTTTAGGGTTCAGAGCCTAAAGTTTAGGGTTTAGCCCGAAAGCCCTGTCTGAATGCCCGAGGCGCAATGGCACGGATTGGATCGCCAGGGAGCCTGGTCGAGTGCTTTTTGGCACCGGGCTGAGACTGCTAGGATGGAGGGTTGAGCACATCCTCAACCCCATCACCTCCTAAACCCCAACCCCTAAACCCTAACCCTAAACCCTAATTCCTAAACCCTAAACCCTAAACCCGAAACCCTAAACCCTAAACCCTAAACCCTATGTTTTCATCCCTAGGAAGCTGACAGCCCACAACCTTAGCCCCCAAAACCCACAAGCAAGCGCCTAAGCCTAAAACCCTAAACCCTAAACCCTAAACCCTAAACCCTAAACCCTAAACCCTAAACCCTAAACCCTAAACCCTAAACCCTAAACCCTAAACCCTAAACCCTAAACCCTAAACCAGAAACCCTAAACCCTAAACCCTAAACCCTAAACCCTAAACCCTAAACCCTAAACCCTAAACCCTAAACCCTAAACCCTAAACCCTAAACCCTAAACCCTAAACCCTAAACCCTAAACCCTAAACCCTAAACCCTAAACCCTAGACCCTAAACCCTAAACCCTAAACCCTAAACCCTGTATGTTCGAAAGGTCAAGCTCGCGCAGTGGCCTGCGGTCCTTTCTACCTCGACGCAGGGGCTCCAAGAGGACTCGGGATATCTTGGGGGGCTTTAGGGTTCAGGGTTCAGGGTTTAGGGTTTCGGGTTTAGGGTTTAGGGTTATAGGGCTTTAGGCTTTACGGTTTGCTCCCCCCCCCCCCTTCTGTCTCTCCCAAATTCACGAAGCGGGTGCCACCCCAAACCCTTCAAGACCCAAAGCCCAAACACCCAAACCCCAAACGCTAAAACCCTAAACCCTAAACCCTAAACTCTAAACCCAAAACCCTAAACCCTAAACCCTAAAACCCTAAACGTAAATCGCATCGACGCCCCAAAGCGTTGAATTGTGGAATCGAAGTTCCAAGCGTCTGCCTAACCCGAAGCCGTCTACCGCGCATCCCTAAGCCGTATAAACCCTAGGGTTTAGGGTTTAGGGTTTAGGGTTTAGGGAACCCTAACCCCTACAAACCTTGAACCCTAAACTTAATTAAACCCTATACCCTAAACCCTGAACCCTTGACTCCAAACCTTTAGGCCACAAGTCGCCCTAATCCCTTGGACGCCCCGCGGACAGTTTCGAGTGTTTTTCAGGTTGACGAGGCTGCCTTATCAGAGAGGCTTCTGTAAACCCTATCCCCGAGCCTTACAAGCACGACCAACCCTGAACCCTAAACCCCAAACCCTAAACCCTAAACCCTAAACCCTAAACCCTCAACCCTAAACCCTAAACCCTAAACCCTAAACCCTAAACCCTAAACTTATAGGTTTATAGTGTTTAGGGTTTATAGGGTTTGGTTTGTTAGGTTTAGGATTTATAGGGTTTAGGGTGTTAGGATTTAGGGTCTTTAGGGTTTAGGGATTTGGTCCACAGTAGGAGCTTGGGACATTGTACATTGTCCCTTACTGTGGGGGAAGAGGGTCCTGTTCAGGAAGATGTCTACAGAGGGTTTTCATGGCCATCCTAGTATAGGCTGTCGTAAGCCCTATAAGCACGACACACGAAACTGTCGACAGGAGGCATACAGCAACGGTAGCTACCCACCTCCCTAAACCCTGAACCCTGAACCCTAAACCCTAAACCCTAAACCCTAAACCCTAAACCCTAAACCCTAAACCCTAAACCCTAAACCCGAAACCCTAAACCCTAAACCCTAAACCCTAAACCCTAAATGAGCTGTCCTTTAAAGGAGACTGGCACCGGGAGTTGGACATGACCCATGTCGCGCCCCTCGTGGCAGAGGAGTGCACGAGCCTTGTTCTGATGGAGGCGCTGGGGGTTTAGGGGCTTTATCGGGTTTAGGGTTTAGGGTTTAGGGTTTAGGGTTTAGGGTTTAGGGTTTAGGGTTTAGGGTTTAGGGGTTAGGGGTTTAGGGTTTAGGGTTTGGGGGTTTAGGGTTCAGGGGCCAGGACTTCGACGCTGTAAGAGCGGAGGGAGTCAAGCCTTCGCCAAAGAGCGGAGGAGACCCTGAAGCAAGAGCGGGAGGATGATCTGGGGTTCTTCTCAACCAGGTGCCCGTTTAGCAGGTTACCTTCTTCCAGGATGTTATATGAACTAAGGGACCTTATACCCTAAACCCTAAACCCTAATCCCTAAACCCTAAACCCTAAACCTTAAACCCTAAACCCTAAACCCTAACCCTAGCCTAGCATGGAACAACCCTCCCTCTCTCTCATGAGCCGCCACAAGATGCAGCGAGTACCCTGGAGACCAAATGAACCTGAACCTTGGGGTCAGGTACCCTATACTACGATAACCCCTATTAGGGTACATGAACTAATCCTGAACCCTAAACCCTAAACCCTAAACCCTAAACCCTAAACCCTAAACCCTAAACCCTAAACCCTTGTAGGGTTCATTTGGTCCCCAGGGTATGACACGGCCCGGAGCCGCAGCCTGAACAAGGAAATGCTGCCGGCGCGGTGCCGTTGGTCTTGCGGGTTGAATCCGCTGTAAAGAGGCAGACAGAGTCCGCCGGAGCAACTGCGGCGCGCTTTTGGGGGGGGCCCTTCTGGGTTTAGGGTTTAGGGTTTAGGGTCTAGGGTTTAGGGTTTAGGGTTTAGGGTTTCCTGACGTTTCTAAAGAGCCCTCGTGCAGCGGTCTGTGTCATCTAGTCTTTTGCTTGCGCCGGAGGTTGCTCCTACTGTTATAAGTCTAGGTAGGCCCCTGGGAGATGTTTATAGTTTCCTTATTGGGTTGAAGGTTTAGGGTGTAGGGTTTAGGGCTTAGGGTTTAAGAGGATCATATGTACGAATATTTGTTCGAGGGTTTTAAGGGCCGTCCTAGAAGTTTTAAGAGGAGTTCATCGCGGGGTCTGGTATGGAAGGCCTTCGCGGACCCCCTGCTTGCATTTGACGACTCCATGAGCCACAAAGTGTCATGGAGGAAGAAACACGAGCGCGCTCAGGGTTGAGGGTTTAAGGTTCAGGGTTTAGGGTTTAGGGCGTGGGGCTTAGGGTTTGGGGGGTTTGGGGTCAAAATCGGGATATACAAGGAGGGTTTTATGCTTCAAGACTTGGTAGGCAGAAGGTTGTGGGCTTCGGAGAGGGCAAGGATTCTCGGTAGTACCCGTCTTCCCGCTTTTCTGGGCAAGGATCTAAACCCTGAACCCTAAACCCTGAACCCTAAACCGTTTTGGGTTTAGGCTTCAGACTGCTGGGCAACCTTGACAAGAAGATCTCACGACAGTTCACTCAGTCGACTGCGTCAGATATCACCTCTCCACACACTTAAACCCTAAACCCTAGCCCTAAACCCTAAACCCTAAACCCTACACCCTAAACCCTAAGCCCTACACCCTAAACCCTAAACCCTAACCCATAAACCCTAAACCCTAAGCCCTAACCCTACATCCTAAACCCTAAACCTTAAAACCTAAACCCTAAACCCTAAACCCTAAACCCTAAACCCTAAACCCTAAACCCTAAACCCTATACAGTGCTGCTTGATCAGCCGTCTTGGCCCCGTGAGAAGCAAGAGCGCCGTGGGCAGCAGAGCAACGCTGCCTTTCAACATCTAGGAGCCAGAGTAGCCCCTCATTCCCTAGAAAAGGTTTAGGGTTTAGGGTTTAGGGTTTAGGGTTTAGGGTTTAGGGTTTAGGGTTTAGGGTTTAGGGTTTAGGGATTAGGTTCAAGGTCTTGGGTCTAGACTTTGCCAAGAATTCGTAAGTTTCACCCCGAACCCTAAACACTAAATCCCAAACCCTAAAACCTAAACTCTAAGGGCACAAATAGTTTTAGAGGGTGTGGGTGAACGGTAGAGCACCGCTCGGTAGAGGGCCTCCGCACACGAGCGACATGGCCTCTACACACGATGAAGAGAGCTCGAGCCGCCAGCCTCTAGAGTTTAGGGTTTAGGGTATAGGGTTTTAGGGTTTAGGGTTTAGGGTTGAGGGTTTAGGGTTCAGGTTTGGGATTGGGGTTGAGGGTTTTAGGGTCTCTAGGGTTTTAGGGTCTTTAGGGGTTTCGGAGCCGAAGCCGAGAAGGTTGAAGTCTTGGGTTTTTTTTTTTTTTTTTTTTGGGGGGGGGGGGGGGGGTTGGGGTTTAGGGCTTTGGGGTTTAGGGTTTCGGGTTTAGGGTTTGGGGTTTGGGGTTGAGGGTTTAGGGTTTAGGGTGCGCGAAGACAGTCAAGCCCTGCAGCCCCTAGGCCAAACGCCTAAAAGCCGTCGCGAAAAGCCCTCTGTTCTGAAGCTTCTGAAACATAAGACCCCTCACCAGGGTTTAGGGTTTAGGGTTTAGGCCTCCCCCCCAGGTTCCCCCCCGGAAAGTAACCTCAATTCGGCTTAATTATCCCTATAGAAGCTTAGACACCCCCACAATCCCCGACTCCCCGGCCCCATATGCCTGCACCCGAACCCAAGCCATGAATACCGCCGCAGTTAAAGCCTCCATGGTTTAGGGTTTAGGGTTTAGGGTTTAGGGGTTAGGGTTTAGGGTTTAGGGTTTAGGGCTTTCACCCGACCTCACCAGCAATGACAATTCTGAAGAACGAGTTTAGGTGGTAGGGTTTAGGGTTCAGGGGTCCGGGCTTAGGCACAAGCCCATCACCCCCAGCGTCACCCTCCTCGTGCGCCGCTACAAGACCCCCTGGACCGGAAGTTGGGGTACCCTAAACCCGAAGCCCTAAATTGTTTGGGCCTTGGTGAGTTCCTAAGCCTTTGAGAGCTTCAGGTTGAAGGGTTTAAGTCTTCTCAAGGTTTAGGGCTTCAGGATTATAGGCCCTAAACCCTAAACTCTAAACTCTGAACTCTGAACCCTAAACCCTAAACCCTGAACCCTAGACCCTGAACCCGTCGGGGATTTGGGATTGACAGCCCTGTCGGGGATTGGGATTCACAGCTTAAAGCCTAAAACCTAAACCCTAAACCCCAAACCCTAAACCCTAAACCCTAAACCCTAAAGCCTAAACCCTAAACCCTAAACCCTAAACCCTAAACCCTAAACCCTAAACCCTAAACCCTAAACCCTGTTCCTTGATCCACTTGCACTGCGCAGCGCTTGGCTCGAAGTGGCCGGACCATCACTTACTCTTCCACTCAAAAGGTACTACTAGCCTCTTGGCTGCTACCAGTAGCATCCTTTTGCCTCCTTTTTTGGGTTTGGTGGCTCTAACCTGCCTTAGCGTGTAGCCAATCCACAAAGGGTTTAGGGTTTAGGGTTTAGGGTTTAGGGTTTAGGGTTTGGGGTTTGGGGTTTGGGGTTTAGGGTAAACCCTAAACCCGAAACCCTAAACCCTAAACCCGAAACCCGAAACCCGAAACCCTAAACCCTAAACCCCGAACCCTAAACTCTAAACCCTAAACCAAGGCCTCCAAACCAGCACGCGCTGATGTGGAGAATTCTGTCTTTATTCTGGCTGGTTCTTAGGACTTTAACCTTTTGGGTTTGTTTCTGTCTTAGTAGCTGAGTGAGCACACTTTACACTTTTTGGGATACTATACTGCCCTATAGAAATGAAAGTGTACACTTTTTGGGCCCTGTGAACTCAGCAACTAAGTTGTAGAAACTACAAAAAGAAGCCTGAAAGTTAAACCTTTAGGAGGGGTTCAGAAGTCAGCCCAGAAACCCTAATCCTAAACCCTAAACCCCAGAACCCTAGACCCCAACCCCCAAATCAAAGTGGGACTCCAAGGATTTGTGGGTTTAGGGTTTAGGGCTACCAGAAGGAGCTTAAAAGTTAAACCTTTAGGAGGGGTTTAGGGTTTAGGGTTTAGGGTTTAGGGTTTAGGGTTTAGGGTTAGGGTTTAGGGTTTAGGGTTTAGGGTTTAGGGTTTAGGGTTTAGGGTTTAGGGTTTAGGGTTTAGGGTTTAGGGGTTCAGAAGTCAGCCGAGGATTTTTGCTTTGCTCCGGCCTCAGCTACGTGCTCTGCCAACTCGAGGCTGACGACGAGTGTCGCGAGGGCGCTTGCGCCCTGCAGCTCGGGAGCCCTTTGGGATGCGCTGTGTGTATCTTCCTAAGAGCCCTCAAGCCCTATAACCCCGAAAACCTAAACCCTAAACCCTAAACCCTAAACCCTAAACCCTAATCCTTACCCTCGTTTGGAGGGCCTGAAGGACTCTTTTCCGAGGGTTTTCAAGGGCCCAACCCAGGCATGCGCTGCAGACCAGGAGCCTCGTGCGAAGTGAGGCGCGGTCTGATGAGCCAAGCGACGAGGCGGGGGGGGGTTTAGGGTTTCGGGTTTAGGGTCTAGGGTTTAGTGTTGCTTTTCTGATAGACTTGGGTTTAGGGTTTAGGGTTGAGGGTTTAGGGTTGAGGGTTTAGGGTTGAGGGGTGAGGGTTTAGTGTTGCTTTTCTGATCGTGGAGACTTGGGCTTAGGGTTTAGGGTTTAGGGTTTAGGGTTCAGGGTTCAGGGTTTAGAGGGTTTTTAGGGTTTAGAGGGTTTTTAGGGTTTAGGGTTTTTGGGGTTTTTAGGGTTTTTAGGGTTTTGGGTCTGGGGTTTAGGGTTTGGGGTGTCTCAATGAGTGGGCGCGCTGGTGCTGAAAGCACCCAGGCGCGCGCCCCGATTTGCATAAGCCCACCCCCGCGGGCTCTCCACCCTCGCCTTAACCTCTACGGGTTTAGGGTTCTTTTGAACTCTGATCGTGCTTTTGTTATTTTTCTCTTGTCCATTGGTCGGGTTCAGAAGCTCGGCATCGATGCAGATCAACTACCCTGAAGCTCGCAGCTCCTAGGCATTGCAAGGGAGATGTCTATCAGTCGAGGGCTGCTGGGAGAGCCAAAAAGTCAGAGGTTTGGGCTTGGGTTGGCTCCCGCCTTCGCCCTCGGGGATGCTGCGTGTTGGGCGG